ATTTGCCACAAGGCGCGAGCAAAATTTTTTTCCGTTCTGTTCGTGCTCTCAGCGGCCTAACACGCTGATTTACGTTCATTTTCTCTTCGAATGATGAGCACTGAAATGTTTCATTCAAATCGATGTTTAAAACCCAACAACGATAAACGCGTTCACCGATGCTCAAAAATTTATCATTATTTTAGTTATTCCAAAAGGCTTTGGCAGCTGTCTCAAGAGTGAAATTCTCCAGCACTCATCTTTCTCTTTCCACTGTGCAGGATTTGAAAGATTACTCAGAACATGAGCAAACTGGTTACAACGTCAAATATCTATCTGCACATTGAATCACCACTCCGAGCCCCAAACATATTTCCTCTCTCTGGTGATAGCTTACAACTCTGTCAGAGATCACAACGAAATCCGGCAGACTGAAAAGTACATTTTAGCCATTAGTGAACACCCAAGGGAGCGGCGAAGGCGGCGCTAAAACAAGATTCAGGAACTTAGAGAAGCTGAATACATGTATATTAATGAGCAAAATGGCTCATTTTCTGCTCATTATGTGATACGAAATACAGCGAGCGCAAATTCCAAGTAAACCCTTTTCCGCTATTCTTGATATTTAAGCTTAGTATCTGTATTTCCTTTATAAAGAAACTTTTGAAAGTTACAAGTTCATAAAAAGTTGGACCAGAAACTAGAAATTTAAAATAGAAATTGAACAGTTTTGAATTGTCGTATACGGTAGAATGGTTACAAAATCATTCACATTTTAACACAAATTTTCAATAGTTTTTAGAAGTCGTGTCCTTCTCGTGAGCGTCTCGATTAAATAAGTGTACTTCCATCTTGATTTTGCAGCCTACAAGTATTGACTTTTCCAACTGAGACCCATTTAGAATGAAAATTAAAGTTAGGTGTTCGTTTTTTCTGGCGCCATATCCTTTAAAATGTTGATTATCGGCTTTCAAATTTTGCGCTCCATCGCGTTGCTGTCATGCTAATGCATTGCTAATGAAGTATGAATATTAAACATGTCCGGCCATTCTGCACCATGCCTGTGTTTGTTCAGATCCAAAGGCAAATAAATATACAGCTATACCTACTGTAAAATATGATTCATAAAGAGTGTCCTAATTTGCAAGAGCTTTAGTAATGCCATGATTTTTAGCAGGTTTGTTCTTACTCATTCTCATTCATATTCCATACGCGTTATTGACCACTTTAAGGTAAAGATGGCTGGATATTGGCCGATTTTCCTTTCTTTTTTTTGTTTTTTTTTGTGTGTTTTATGGACTGCAGCCAATGAACGAGATTTATATCCACTCATCTTGACCTTTAACTTGACCTTTCAGCTGAACAATATAACGTATATGGAATGTGGAGGCCACTGAGTAAGAATAAACATGCTAAGGATTACGCCAATACTAATTAAAAAACAAATTCCAAATGAGGGCGCTTTGACTGTTTAGCCAATAAAAGATTCATTTATTGTATGGCAAAAATATCTCGCCGACTTCAATGAGAATCAAGAATAAATCGGTTTTTTTTTGGGTGCTGGATATTACTTGACAAATTGGAAAATTAGGTTTACACTGTTGATGGGTAAACGTCAAAAACGTTGATTAAAATTAATTAGAAAGCTACACAAGCTCCCAATTTTTTTACTAGGGCGGGATTAAAGTGAGAAATTACAAGCGGGTAAAATAGACCTGTTATGTCCACTCGGCCAGCCAGGAATCGCTTCGTCTTGCTCACGGGCGATGTCAGCTACGTAACACGTAGAATTATCACATGACGGCCTCACGCGCGCAATCCCAAAGAAAACCATAATGAAAGCCGGTCCGGAAAAACCGTCCGGCCCGCTACTCACACGGCTATTTTGTATTTTCCAACAACGCGGTTTAAATTGTGAACTTCAACTTGAAGTAAAACAAATGAGGAAATGAGTTGCGCTTCTCAGTGAATTATGAGTTTCTTGCTCTGACTCATTGGAAAAAAGTATTTAGAGTAAAATCTTGATATCAGTCGTCCAGTTCGCCCTTCTTTTGAACCCAAGTACGTCCTTTTTAAGTTGAAACGAAAGTTTTGAAATTTTCAACACTTGGTGGTCATATGATAAAATGCTTACTGTTTAAGTTTGATCAAGCTGAAAGGGTAAATATTTGGCTCTCAGTCAATTTCGCCCAATGAATCGATGAGTACATAGTATAACCCATAGCCACTCTGTCATAATAAGGTACCCTCCCTAAATTAACTAATGGTGACTGTTGTAGAGTCAACCATTTGATTTTTATGAGACTGACCTGCAATCATCCACTCTTTTTCCATCTCTTTCACGGTTCCTAGAGTCATTCTGAACTTTTCCAATTCTTTCCCTATGCTACGATATTTACGTCCTGGAAAAAATTGAGGATGTAATATTTCTGAGTCTCAAATTCATATCAAACAGAATGGTCTCCAATTCGTGAAACAGTCGTAGTCCACCCTATATTAAAGATCTATTGTCATCAGCTGCTAATTATGCTCTTCTGTTCGTCTTTTGTTCGTTCCAAGAGTCAACTTGTTTACGCTTGGGGATCGTGCCTCACTCATACTGCTCCTGTCTTTTGGAACTCACTACCATTATCGATTAGAACCTGTACAAGCCTCGCAGTTTTTATGAACTAACTTTAACCCACAGCCACACATGACCACCAAGCGAAATCCAACAGAAAGAAGAGGCGCTAAATTTCCATTGCACAAGAATATTAAACCAGTATTAAACCCTCATCTAGATAGCCCTTTGTTCGTGTGTATTTTTTTCAAATGAAAATTTGTAATGCCCGTGATAGTAACAGCTTTAAAAGTCAATCATCTTATAAACTAATTAAAAGTATGATTAATTCGTTGAAAATAATCAATTGATCATATAACCTTCGGACGGGTATGCATCTCTGCATGCTTCCTGAATGCTGTCCCAATTCTCAATGACATCTTTGATTAACCCTTCAACCTGGTCGAGCTTTTCAAGTCTGTCTCCTGAGGATTTATGAACAGAATAAGAAGATGATAAGTTTTGAACTCGGCAACTGAAGAAATCGATAAAGAAATATACGAAATCTAAGTTTCCAACCACTTCATGGCCAAACTCAACGCAGAGTCTCAGTGGTGGATCTGAGCCCCGGAATTCAAATATCTGAGACTCGATTCCTCATGCGCCACATGCGTCTTTTGTCCTTTGTGTTCGAGTGAGTGTTGGAGGATGTACTTTCATACCTGAGCTACATTTTCTCGAGACAGTCTTTACACCCAACTATCATCAAAGTAAAAAGGCCAGTTCTGTAACGATTCTGGCGTTTTCCCAAGTAACCGACAAGACTATTAACACGAAAGTAAGGTTTCTGACATCAACATTTATGGTCACATTACAATTGACTCGCGTAGCCGAGAGGGAAAGACATTCAATGATAACAACTCAGCGAGAATCAAGCTATATTTCTCGGCAACTCATACCTATTCTATTAAGAATTATCATTTAGTGGAGACTAACAATCACTTTCACCTTTGTCAAATCCATATTCAGAAGTGGCACTACTCAAAGTCCCAACTCCGCTATCACTCGGTAGTGTGAATTCGCTGGAGGTCTCCTGAAGATTTTCCAAATATTCTTCTACACGCAGTTTTCTGTCAAATGGTAAAAACTCCCTCTCTGGAAAAGGATCTCTTGTATTGGCAGTGGTCATGTTTCGTTCTTTCAGAAGGTCTGAATCAGAACTTGCCCGTTCTTTTAATCCTCTTTCCTCTTCAAGTTTCATCTCTAAAATTTACAGTCAAAAAAAGCAATATAATGTTGAATGAAGCGGTGGGTTCCACATTATTTGCAAAAGAGAATTGAGACATTGAGCATTCTTCCTCACTTGGAAATAAATCATATATATCCGAGTGACAAATAACCCAAAAGGTAAGTGAAACTTTAGAACGAATGTCACCAATGGTCAAACATTTGGTGGCAACAGCTGAAAAATTAATTTCGCCCATATTTCAAAGTTTAGTAAGTCTCAATGGGAAATAAGTCACGGCATACTTCTTTTGGTTGAATATCGTTTATTTTCGAGAAAATTGATAATAACTGAATTCCACCAAAATGCCGCTTTTGAAGCTCAAAATTTCAGGCGAATCTCGGAGCGTTGCGTCACAAATGGAAAAACTATCTGGACCGATAAAAAGTACCAAATCTTAAAAAATAGCATCAAAATATATTTTGTCGGCAATTTGAGCAACCTTGACGATTTATTTACACGAGGGAATTGAATTTATCCAACCAACTTCTGACTACATAAAAAATAGGTTAAAAGTAACCCGTTATGTACCTATGTGCCACACAAAATAATTAGCTGAAAATCTGGCTTTTGGAAGGCAAAGTGCAGTTCTTTTCGATCTTCAAAGGATTTTTTTGGGAAATGATTCAGCGCGATTTAATTAAACTTTTACGTTGGATAAAATGAGGTCTACTGAAATCGACAAAATAGTACATTGGACAGTAAAACATGTGGCTTCGGGAACTTAGGTCAAGTTTTAAATATGCGAAACAGGAGCAAACAATCATCTAAACCCCGATCATAATTAAAAGTCTCAAGATTAAATGAATCATGGTATTTTTTTAATTATTGTTTAAGGTGGATAAAGCGAAAGATCTGCAAAGGGCATAGCCCATTACTGCAGATGTGCATTAGAGCAAAGTGTATAAAAAAGCTGTATAAAGGTCAAAACCACAACTTTCACTGAAATTTTTTAACTAGCCGACGTCCCACAGATTTATATTTATACCTCTTCTTCCCGCGACGCTCCGAGATTCGCCTGAAATTTTGAGCTTTATAGGCGGGATTTTTGCGGAACTCAGTTATGATCGATTTTCCCGAAAACAAAGAGATATTCAGCCAAAGGAAGTTTGTTTCTCTCTAAGGCCTACCTAACTTGAGCATATGAGCCGAATTGATTTTTTGGCTGTTGCCTTTATATTTTGAAAAAGTTCGATTTTGGCCACATTTGCTCTTAAGTTGTCTGAAAATTGCATTTTTGAGCACAACTCAAAGTTACTTTTCGAATGAGTTTTAGAAACAGAAATATCGACTCGTTTGAAGTCAACGATTTTTATATCACAGTGCTTTTTTCGCGGAGGAATTGCGGTTGTCATTTGGATAATAAATCGAGAGGCTGTTGCTACGTGAAGAGAAAGAACAACCCGTTGGACATTTTGATCGATTATGAGCAACTACTCTTTCCCAGCTCAATCTGTCGGTCGACCGAAGAAACACAAAAAGTGATGTTGCGATTCACAGGTATTCTTTAAACCCACGCAACAGATCAGGCTGAAAAAGATGAAATATAACAAGTCTACAATTTCAATTTCTGCACCATGGATCTTTTTGCAAACCCAAATATCTGGACTTAAAACAATTTATGTTAGCGATAAGGAAGTACGTTTGCGAACAAAGAGCGCCTATCAAATAATTAAGAAGTATTAAAATCGATTCTCCTCCAAAAGAACAAAGGAATTCTAGCTTATGTAGATATAATCAACCGTACACAATAATGATAACGCGTAGTGCATGATGTCTTGGAGAAGGGCGGAAAAAACTTAATGAAAACACAGTTATCCTTAAAGCTCACCTGGTCACTTCCCCCAACCCCACTTAGCCCCTAGCTACTTTTGTCATAGATTTAAGACACGTGCTTGCGTTCATGACCGTAATACTAGATATAAGAATAACTTGAATACCCCAGCTTATCAGTCAGCTTCTGGGCAACGCACTTTTTTATACCGCGCATTAAAGGAATTTCTTAGTAGTTTTTAATTAGCAATACGATATATTTTAACATCTATTAGAATTTTAGATCCTCAATTTTAATGTATTTAACATTGATTGTAATTAGTTTTTAAACCCATTTAGTGGAAAACTAATAAATCATTTTTTTTTTTCTTGGCTAAAGATGTAACCGTATATTTGTCCTTTGTCAACACGCAAATTTGCCTCTTCATTCGCGCCAAAATTGAATGCAATTTCAATCAAATACTGTTATCTCACGAAAGGTAAGATTAAATAAAGAAACATCAGCTAGAGTATAGAACTGGATGGTTATGTGTGAGCTGGTTCATTTACAGTCTCGTGACGCGTTTCAAAAAATCGTATACGAGGAAAAATATTAGATAGATCGTAATGCAACAACTTTAATTTTCAAATCACATCTTCTAGATGCCGTGATTCGTACCGTTATAAGATATAACAAGAGACGTTTCGAATTCATCTCGAACAAGGAGTCATGCACAATGGCGGGACTATTTCAGGTGAAATTACCTTCTATTCCTGATATCATCAAATACAACCTGGCATTTCTGTATTCATCTTCGTCGATGTCCACAGTCAATCTCACTTCACCACCTGTCAGCTGCTCTATTTCCTCAGTAACAAGAAACTTTTGTAACTTTGTCTGTAGTGTTTTATCCTGATAACTTTGCCATAGTGCGTCAAGAGCGAAAACATTTTCTGCTTGAATCGTAAATCGGATCGATCCTTCACCGATTGCACGCAAGAAATTTCCCAATGGAAGAACAGCTCCTGTCAAAGCATTGGAAAATTCTTCCAGGTTACGACTCTTGCGAAGGACCATCCATGCAGTGACGAGTACGGTACCACCAACAAGATTGTGGAAAGTACAGTGAGGTGTAACAGCTGTAAAAAATGTAGAAATCACAGGGTTTACATCAGCCGCTTGTGGAGTCGACCGAAAAAGCGGAGCTAGGCAAAGAAACAAAAGTTTTGGGAGAGTTGGCTAAGGAGAGCACTCCTTCACAGACTTCTCGCGTAATTCGCTTTCCCGCTTCTTTGCTTATCTCCAGTAACTGAGAGCCTAGCTAAGACTAGATTAGAGTGGATTGCTATTTTCGAAAGTTATACGTTACTGAGAGAGACGACAAAGAGGCTCATGAATAAAGAGAAGTGGATGGACCATAAACATAAGGTATTCAACAGGTCTTGCTCTGTGTCAGCGGGTTTTACTGTCTCAGGTTCTAGGTTCCACATAATTAGGCTCTACTTCTCAGCAAGATTAACCAACACTGTCTTACCTCCTATTAATTCTCTGCCAATTATTTCACCAGAAGTAACAAGAGCGGCTCCAGCTGGAATGAGAAATAAATCAATCATTGAATTAACAATTACAATATTCCATGGGCGCAAGTCTTAACTAATTTCTACACAGCAACTAGGCAAAAAATCCCTATGAACTCACGGCCGTACCATGTATATCATGACGTGTGCAGTTTCACTTGCAAATTCATGCTGCAAATTCCTGTCGAGTTTAACATCGAGGTTTCAAACCTTTCTAATTGTTTTTCTATTTTATCCCGATTGAGATATACCTTTAAGAGCTCAAAATGAACTGTTCATATCCTAGACAATACTTTTTTCGAAAAAGCAAGTAGAATTAAGATCTTTCAAGCAACGAAATTAACACTGTCTTACCTCCTATTCCTCCGCCAATTTTTATTCCACGAGAAAGAAAAGAAGCGGCACCAGCTGGAATGTGAAACAAATCAATCATTGATTTAATAATTTTAGAATTCCGCGGGCACAAGTCTTACCTAATTACTATATAGCAACCAGGAACAAAGATCCTTATGTACGCACGGCTATGCATGTATATCATGACGTGTGCAATTTCACTTGCAAATTCATGCTGCAAATTTCCGTCGAGTTTAACCGCGACGTTTCAAACCTTTCCACATTGTTTTCCTGTTCCATCCCGATTGCGATATAACTTTTAGAGCTCAAAATGAAATGTATATATGGTAGACAATACTTTTTTTAAAAAAGCAATGAGAATCAAGACTTTTCAAGCGACGAAATTAGCTTTAGAGTTAACGATAGTTCGTTCCCAACACTATGCGAATTATGAAATAGCAGAGCGATCTTAATGAAATCAAATGAGGCTTCGCAGCGAGGGGATAATGCTTTAGGACAATAACTAGTATTCAAAGGATAATAGCGGAGCTCGCAGCGTGCGCAGCGCGCGCAGCATAGCCTCATAATCATACGAAATAGTTGTAAACCATTAAGCAGAAAAAATTTGCACTTACGACCGTTCGACCGACCGTACAAGGTGCTCCTTTTAGCATGCACGGCCAACCGCATTGCAGGCACTATCTTAGTCATTACGTGATGGAAGGGCGAAGGAGAAGGTAATGCGCAGGCGCGATTGCGTGCGTAGCTAGGAAAACTCCATTAGTATGCGCCAGGAGACACTGGCAGATGACGATGAAGTTCGCATGCTCGAGCACGGAGCCTTAGTGCAGTGTACCGCGGGCACACGGTTAGGTGTTAAACGAGGACTTCACTTAAACTAGTAGATGTGAAGCAGCGTAAATAAATAATAAATAAAAATACATAAATCTGAATTATGAATTTGTAAAAAGCTAGGTAATAAACAGTAAAATGTAATTATACAATATATACATTATTTAAAACTAGGCAAGAAATCATTCCGCCCTATTCCGGTGGCGCTCCCTTAAAATACATAATGTTAGCTTACTGAAGGATTTAAAATTATCGAAGCATTTAACATTGGATGGTAGAGAATTGATGAGGGTTGCCGCGCTATACTGAAAAGTTTCCGAGGCATAGGGAATAACTAGATTTATGGTACTTGATGACCGTAAATTTCTAGCATGTTTTACATGCTCAAGCTGGGCCAATCATGAGAGTATATAGCTTTGCGTGCGGCCTTTAGAACGTGCCATTCTCTACGTTCTTTCATAGGCAACCAGCCTAACTTAAGAATAGGGTAAATATTGTCCACATAGCGTCCAAAAACAAAACTGGCTGCCGCAAACTGGGTACGCTGTAACCTTTTTAGAAGGCAATCAGTAATTGGATGGAATATTATATCATTAAAGTCTAGGCGAGATAGAACCAGACATTCCACGAAATGTTTTCTAAGATGGTAGTTTGTAAAGTTCTTGATTTTCCTCAGCGCAGCTAGGACACCATAACAAGATGAGGCGAGATGCTTAACATGATCATCCCATTTCAAGGTGTCAATCATGTGAACCCCAAGTAATTTAATAGAGTGAACACGCTCGAGGGGTTTATCTCCTACAGATAAATGTATAAGACGTTCAGCCAGAGAATGGTAAGACGACATCTGAGGAGTTGAGAACAACATATACTTAGTCTTTCCTAAGCATCCCTTGTTAGCCAACAAGAAGCCCAACATAGGTTAAGTTGACCATGATAGCCAGTATTTCGCTTAATACTGAAGTGAAACACGGAGCGGAATAATAAAGGCAAACATCAGGGTACGTTGATTGGAGGTTTTTAATTAGACCCTTATCTTGCACCAACAAATTTGCATTCAATTTTAAGAATTTGCACGCCTAACTTCACAGCACAAAACAAAGGTGTAAGAAACAGGTTTTCATTGTCAAAGTAATTGAAATTGCCGATGTGTGATGAAATTCGATTGCCACTACTTTCATGGCCAAACAAAGTAGACACGAGCTACATGTATGTGAAAGCTAACTAATGTTGCCCAGCAGAACTTTTTTTCCTTAACAAGGGAAATGTATTTAGCTGGCTATGAACTCCATATTTAAACACTTAAAACTAAACACAAAGAACCGAGTCTGCATTTTACCCCTGGTCTGCGGTCATTAGTCTGCATTTTACCCCCAGTCTGCATTTCATCTCAGGTCTGCAGTCTGCAGTCTACGATTTCCACTGACTGGATTTCAAGCATGGTGTACATGCCACAAAATTTTCATTTCCCTGACTAATTATTTTGTAATGGTGTTTACAAGATGTAGAAAATGGTTGGGTTGAAATAATACAAAGACTTGCTATTAGATAGTCAAATGAAAACTTTTCTCATGTCAACAACATTTATTTTTGCGTTTCAAGTTAACATGTCGCAACAACTCCACTTTCCAGTAAATTCAATTATTTGCAAACATAAGAAAATACAATCTAAAACTTTTCAACCTATCTAATATAACCAATGACAACATCAAATCAACTTTTGAACTAAAGAGAAAACTTGATGGATGTTTGGAACTGATTGCTGTGATGTAAAAATAAAATCCAGGTATTGTCTAAAGTTTTCTTATAGACACCCACAATATATGCAGTTAGAGCAGAGGTTAGCGAATTAAAAAACAGAAAAATCTCAAAAAGACGCTGTATATGTCCAGCGATAGGACAACTATGGAACAAGGAAAAGCCAAATGAGAAAAAGTTTAAAAAAAATTTACAGGTTCAAACACGAGTTGAAAATTAATTTTCTTTTCAATTTTCTGCGCCAAACAGAGGAGGCTGAGACGTAAGGGAAAAACGGTGGGGCAAGCAGTCATACCTGGCGACTTCAAAAGAAGATATAAGAGAAGCCCTTGCAATTCTGGCGTATTGTTTTGCTGACTCACTGTTCTCAGGTGTATACTATTCAAGCAACCTAAGATGTCGTAACGCGAAGTAGTTTACCGTCGTTTCTTTCAATTTTGGCTCATTTTCTAAACCTGGTTATAAGTTATGCGCAATAGAATATATCTTCAACTGATGCTGACATCATATACTTCATCTGAAGAAGAAAACATGCCATATCTTTGAAAATTTGCTCAGAACATCAAGAATAACAACGACGGTCCTAAGATTTTTTAAAATACCGCTGACTACACCCATGTCTCTTCAATTCTTCCCCCACCCCTAAGACTGGTCCCTAAATCCCCTTGAAGAAATTCTTCAACGGCCAGTGTTGAAGAGTTTTATTAGAGTTTCATTCAGTATAATGAAGGGCTGGAAAAAAAAACTAACAAGAGCTCTGCCTTTATGCTTACCTAATTCTAAATATTATATCTCATAATGTTGTTCAAAAGAGATTTTGCCTTAAATCATAACATTTTTCTGAAGTGTTAACGCAAAGCCTTGCAATTTTCTTGTAAATTCTAGCAAAAAACGATTCACGAGCGCTCTTGCAATTTTAAGGTATACTATATAAAATAATCAGCAAACGATTTCGAAGAGGAATCCATATTCTCGTATCGAGCAAAAGCACTGCTTAACTTGTAATATGGGAAAGATGGGAAAGCGCAAATATCGATTTTATCTGTTTCGCAAACAAAGGAGTTAATCACCCACACCGGAAATAGCGACCAGGCATTCCTCGCGACTCCCGTATGTCTGTTTTCCAATTTGCCCGGGCCGCTGCCAATCACTTCTTGTGTAAAAACCTACGTAACCCGCTAAGTGGAAGTACAGTGACTACTGTTGCTTACCGATATTTTCCGCCGGCAAAACGTAGAAGTACTGTTCTATTTGGGAAATTTTATTGTCTGTAGCTTGGATATGTCAGGAGAGTTTCATTGACAGCTGGATTACACCTCATGCTGTGAAACCATTTATAAAGACATTGCGCTTTTGCTTCGCTTTTTTTGGGTCTATATACCCGCACTAGCAGAAAAATTTAGAAATGTCCCGCCAAAATCAAAGGACAAATTTTGTCATGACAAATTTTTGTTTCCTCTGTTGCATTCGCACTAAAAATGTTGAAGCTGTCAAAAAGTTATCAAATTCACCAATGGTAGTGTTTACGACATATGATAGACAAGTTTATCACGGTTTTGTTTATTTAGTAGATTTTCCCAAGCTTTTGCCGGGACGAATTTTGTCGGCGGTGCGCTTGAAAAATTTGTCCGCCTCAAAAAATTGTCGAGTTACGACAAACCATCCGCACCTGTCAAGTGTTGGTAATGACAGAAAATTTGTCTATATAAACAATTTTGTCGCTAGTGCGGATAGGCCCATAGTCACATACAAAAAGGGAAACGTGAGGCAACTGAAAGATGATTCACGAGTATCACTTAGCACTGGCACAAGTCGACCAAACAGGCACACGCATGACTTAACAGTGGAAGATGGCGATATTTTCAATAACAATTATAGTCCAGTGTTTTATGTCCAGTGAATTATAGTCCAAAACTCGATAACAAAGCTTTCATCTTGTTTGTACTCTTATTTTCTTACCTTGTCAATTTCACAGCTTGTTTCTTTGTTTAGTTCAAAAAAATCAATTCACACCTACACGGGAGGTGAACTTGAAAATAAAAGAATTTAAGTGGGAAAAAGCTCCCTTCTGAGCAATTCACACGAAAAAAGATGCCGACATGGTTAATTATGCGTAGCGCCGCATAATTAATGAGCGGTAGAATATTCGACGCATCAGTGAAATTTTCTTAGCTAGCACTGCCTTCAGTCAAAGAGTATTTTTCCCGTTTCCAGCGATATCCTTGACTCAGTAGATACTGGGGTAACGATTTTTTTAGAACTGATTTTTAGTGGTATCATTCTCAAAGAAACATTGAAAACAAAAAGTGTGAAAATTTATTAAAAGCACGCTAAAGGATATTATGACAACAAAAAACAATGGAGGGACTAAAAATGAGTTGACGATTTTCTTTTGTTTTTGTGTGCGGGTTATCTGCCTGTGCGGGTAATCCGTTGAAATCTTTTTCTCCTCATTGCAAAAATTGACCGATGCGGGTAATGTGCCGCGCGGGTAAATGGCCGGAAATTACGGTTACTGGTAAATAAAAAATGTTCGCACATCGACGCTCTCTGTGAGCTCCCAGGCAGACAACCCTGTTGGTTTGAGGTTGCGTGACGTCAGTTATTTGATACGCTATTTAAACAATGACATTGTTTATAATTTGGTCGATCTCAACAAGAAGCAAGTGATCCAGAGAAATGTTTCATAAATTCCGCAGATCGTAACATTTCATCCCCAAAATCCGCTTAATGACAGTCAGATAAATAAAGTTCACTAAACTTCGTTTTTCTGATTTTGCAGGGTTTTGGGACGGTTAACTCCCCACTTTGCACTGATGCACTGATGCCTCTCCAAAGGCAAAGGAAAAACACAAGGCGTCCAACTTCCTGGACAGTCTGGGCCGAAAGCCTCTAGAACAACTCCGCCGAATTTCTTCCGCTGCCAAATGTCGTTCACCTCCCAGCTCCGGGCACGTTAATATTCTATAAACTGTAAGAGCTAAGCCAAAAATCAGTGCAATTGCTCGCCCCTAACCACCTCAAAAGCTTGCTCGATTTCCGAAATTCGCTCTTCATCTGCCGTCGACACATAATGTGGACCGAAGGGTTCGATCATGAGCCTTCGATTAACCATATTAAAAACAAAAACAACCTTCGAAAACACTATTTTCAACCTTTTAATTAAACTTAAAAAGAAAACACTCGCTTCGCAACTGGCAACGTAGGCATTTCATTGTGGCTAAGCGTCTTAACTTGGTTCCCATCGAGGTAAGTGAAAGTGATTACTTACTCGTATTAACAAAAACGTCCAGCATGTCATCCTCGCCAGCCTAGTTACTGATTTTACAGCTCTCAACATTCTCTCAGACAATCGGTTGAACGGACCTAGACCTGAGGTGTAGCAATGAACGTAACGCTCATGAATCTAAAATTCGATCGACAGTGTTGGTCGAAGAACTTAAAAACTATTTCGAAACTAAGCAATTCAGTTGGAAGCTATCCCTTACCTCCTACTCGTCGTATGTTGTCGTTCCATCTTTCGGCATCTTCTTCCTGTTTTCTCTTCTTTTCGAATTCCTCCACCAGTCTGCACAAATCTGGTTTCTCCACCTCGGTTGCTATAGTCTTCAGGATAGTGAGGTCCTCTATTCCCAATATGTGCCGGTCTTCTAACATTTTGAATAATGCATCGAAATCTTTGATTTGTTTTCCGGTTTCACGAGGTATCACATTGTTTTCTACGCAGGTTGAAATGGATCGTTGTAGTTCGTTGGACTCTTGGAGTGCTCGGCCTATCTGCTTCAGTAACTCTTTATAGTCCTTTCTCTTATTTTCGAATTCTCTCAAAATTTGAAGAAGATTCCTCTTTTTTATCCTCTTTAGTATATCTTTCAATACAACGAGATGATCAATCCCTATAACTCCCTTATCTTTCAGTTTCCGAAGCAACGTAATGACGCTCGTGAAAGCTTTTTCCGAGTCATTAGGAATGTAATCCTCGTAAATATCTAGCAACCACCCACTTTCAGTTTGCCAATCGATTTCCTTATCACACTGATGCAATATTCGAAGGAACTCCACATTAGACATAGCTGTTGGTTGGGGGGGGAAATAAGATTATCTTGGCGAAAATTGATGATCATCAAGAATCAAGACGCGCCTTGCCCGTTAAGGAGTTGCTAGTAATCGGATCCTCTGCTATGCGCAAAGGGTTCTGGGATCGCCACGGTGCAAACAACGCAAATTGCTACAAAGGAATTCATGGCGAAGAGTTGTTTAGGCGTCCAAAAAGTGATTTTTTAGAGAATTCAGCGCTGTTTTGCAGCCGTTTTATCAGAAAAGGATTAAAGTAATGTTGTTGATACGAGGGCAGTGTAAGTTTATGTTTAAATAATAATGAAATATGTGTTAAGATCTACCGATAAATTTTTCTCCTTGCATAAGGTTTATTGTGAACTCGACATCTCGTAGTGATCTTGAAACATCACAAAGTTACGTATAAGTGAACGAAAACTACCCTTTAAAGTATTTTCAGTTAAATATACGTGTGTACAGACATTTTTAACTCTAGCTAACGTCTTTCATACACAAATTACGGCTTCCAGAAATTTACCTCCTCGAAGGAGAGAAGTAGTTGTCAGAGGAGATGGAGATTGTTTTTAACGAGCTATCGCTCTCTGGAATGATGAAATAAGTGATGAGAAACATAAAAAATCCGCATGTTAAGTGCTAGTTTGATAGTGAGAAATCCAAAGGTGTTTGAGCCGCTACTTTCCTCTTCGAACTCTGTGGAGGATCGTATCAAGAACAGCAAGATAACTAGAACTTGAGCTGAAACCGTGGACATCTTCAGCTCAGCATCGCTCCTCATGCGACCCATTTGCACCTTCTCATCGTCGCAGTAAAAAATGGTACACCTTTGAGCTGATTAAGAACACTGATTCGTTTTCATCGATCACTAAAAAGAAGTGCAGGTGTCCAATCACTTAAATGTAATGTAAGCAACTCATTTTAATCTCCTTCTGCCTAGAAGTAGCTGTTGTAGTGCTCCTCTGCCTGAGAATACAGCATCCTCTGTTTCAATAGATTTAGAAAACAATGGTAATTCATATGCCAAAGCTGTGAAACAAAAATCACAAACTCATCCTTCCTTCAAACCACCTTCGATTGAAGCAACAGAATCCAAGTAACCTGGTCAAGATCTAGCTTTTTAAATACAAAAAAAATTGTCTTCGTACTCTAAAATAACTGTGAAAAAGCCAACTCAATCTCCAGAAGCTACCAGTGCCAAATAAACCTCTTCTGTGAAACGGCTACATCCAGCTACGTGTACTAAACCTTCTGCTGTCCAACAACCATCTTATTCTACCATGACCAGTTCCCAAACATCTACAGACAAAACTGCATGGACCACTACCAAGTAACCATCTTCAAAACTAGCCACTACTGCATCTACTAGTCCCAACTTTGACCAAATGGATGTGAAAAAAATTAAAGCATTTATTTCTTCCCAGGATGTTCAAGTTTCCACTTACCGCAACCCTGAACTTATTCAGCTAGCTAAATAAGTTGCTTTAGTGGACCTTCCTACTGACCCTGACTGTGAAAGTGAGTCCATTGATAAATGTTTGTTAAGAGGCCTCGCGCTTCCAGCTGGACAAAAAAATTTGGCCCCCTTCCAAATGACAGCATTGCCCAGTGACTTCTCCCAGCTCCCTCCAATTGGAACAATGGAAATTTTTAATCATCTAATTATAAGCTAAACTGATTACGATAAAAGCATGTTATCCTCCTGGCGCTCATTCGAAGGGGAATTATTTATGTAGGAATGGCAATGTTCAGAGCCTTAAAGTAAATGGTACAAAGGGCCTTGATGGCGGCATTTTTTTCTGTCTGTGGCTGGAGTTATAAAAACTCAGAAAGAAAAAACTCAAGAAGGTGATAAACTTTACAGGCTCTGGTTTGTTGTGGACTCAAGTGAGTCTGTGTATTCAGATTTCCGTAGGTGCCAGGGTGGAGGTGATTGAGGATGCAGACATTTAGGTGAAACGTTTCTTTCAAACCCCTAGCCAGCTCCTACACACAAATCTGTCCCTACGTCTGAAATGAAATTTTCCAAAAGCTCTTTGATGAAAAAGAAAAGGAAAATAATACCGCGTGATGATTCCTGGATTGACTATTTTATCATAGACCCATGGGAGGCAGAAAGGAAATAGCTCATAGAAAACATTGATTTCGCAAAGAAACTTTAAAAAATTGATCCGTGTTCTGGTATTCTTGATTTTTTACCATTTTCTTCGAACCATGATGAGAATGAACATTTTCCTTCACATCTTGATAATGTATCTCACCTGGCCATATTATATCAAGCTAAGAATTATGTTAAGATAAATTTTATTAAGCTGTCAGAGGACAACCTTTCAAATTTTGCTGAAGAATTTAGAAAAGCCCTCACCTTTTCAGACAATGATAGAATGATTATAGACAAAGCAACCATGGTACAACACAAAAACAAAACCTGCACGAAATGAGACACCTTTTAGTTACAGGGAAAAATAAAATCTCTTTACACCCACCAAAAAACGTTGGAAAAAGATCCTCATACTGATGTATCACTCACTGTTAAAATTTTACTCAATTAAAAAAATTTAAAGAAAACCAAGTGTGTCCTGAAGCCATAGATCGTGGTATAAAGGAAGAAGAAAATGCAAAATGTTACTACCAAAAATTCAGTGAAAAACAGCATTGTTCATTTGATCTTCAGAAGCCAGGTCTCCTTATTAGTAGCAGTTATTTTTGGATAGGAGCAAGTCTGGATGGTACTAGAAAATTTCACTGTTGTGACCCTTCAGTAGTAGAGATAAAATGTCCATTTAAAGGGAAGGACCTTGACCCTAAAATTGCTTTCCTGTTACCAACTGTTAGTGGGATAAAAGATGAAAATGGGAATTTTTTTCTTGACAAAAATTATCAACATAATTCCCAAGTTGAGACTGACATGGTATTTTCAGGTTTAAAATCTTTCGATTTTGTTACTTATACAAGTAAAGGGATATTTATTTTAACAAATAATTTTAATGATAAGTTTGGGAAACTGTTGTAGCAACAGTTTACAAGTTTTACTGTCAGCAAATAGTTCCTTCTTTCCCAATGGAAGCCTTACCTAATGACAATTTTCACACAAAACAGTTATCCTCAAGTCAAGAAGATCAACATATTCAGTAAATAAAGGTATTTGCTTCTGCAGTGTGCTCCTTACTAAATGCTTCTTCGACATAAATTAGTTAAAGCAGCATAAACAAAAATAATTCTTTCCAACATTGATTTTAACAAAAGAAGAATATCTCCTGAAAGAATTCTAAATTGCTTCAACTTCAAAATGTTTCTTTCAACATGAGTTCTTGATCTTTCTTACTACTGGAGGAGTACAATCTCAATTCCAACGTGAGGAAGAATATTTTGCTTTCCTGGGTATCTTCGATCATTGTTACAACCCCACACAGTGCAGTGATTTCCACAAGGAATATTTCCAATAATATTTGTGTTAACGAGCTTACAAATGAGCCAGAAGTAGACTGCACACATATATTTACAACTGAGAAAGCTGGAATGGGTTAAATACTCGCGATTATTACTTAACTTCGAGATATTTCAAGACCATTACAAGATGTCGATTTCACAATAAACCTTACGCAAGGAGAAAACTTCATCGGTAGACTTTAGCACATATTTCATTGTTGTTTAAATAAAAACTTACACTTCTCACGTATCAACATTGCCTTTATCCTTTTCTGATGCTGCGTGACGTCAGTCCGCAAACCGCAAACCGCAAACCGTAAACCGTATCAAAATTCAAATTAATCACCAAATTAGCTCAGATTTCATCCTACCCTCCCCGTGCGAGGGCTGGTTTTTATCGTCTTTCAACCGACACACTATGCACAGGCGTGGGGAGGGTCGGGTGAAATCTGAGGTCAGTCGGTGATTAATTTGAATTTTAATACGGTTAATCGAAGGCTTATGATCGACCTCTTCGGTCCACATTATGTGTCGACGGCAGATGATGAGCGGAGGTCAGAAATCGAGCAGGCTTTTGAGGTGGTTAGAGGCGGGCAATTGTACTGATTTTTGGCTTAGCTCTTACACGTTTATTGACTTTTAACGTGCCCGAAGCTGGGAGGTGAGCGACATTTGGAAGCGGAAGAAATCCGGCGGAGTTGTTCTGGAGGCTTTCGGCCCAGACGGTCCTGGAAGTTGCACGTCTTGTGTTATTCCTTTGCCTTTGGAGGGGCATCAGAGCAAAGTGGGGAATTAACCGTTCCAAAACCCTCCAAAATCACTCGAAACAACACAGAAAAAAAAAGCTAAATGAACTTTATTTATCTGACTGACATTAAGCGGATATTGGGGATGAAATGTTACGATCTGCGGAACTTATGAAACATTTCTCGGTATCACTTGCTTCTTGCCGAGATCGACCGTTGCAAATTACAAACAATGTAAGAGGTCAAATAGCGTATTAAATAACTGACGTTACGCAGCCTCAAACCCACAGGGTTGTCTGCCTGTGGTAGCACCTGTGTCTTCCGTTGTAGTAATGTCCTCACTAATTACCAATAGAATGCGGTTTTCTTCTTCCAATCAAAGTGCGTTGTGATCGTGTCTTCTGCGTGTCACTTCCCAACTAGGGAAGGGATGCAATGCAAAAGTGTAAGAACATCGTTAAGATTTCCGCACTCGAAGTTTGAGAATTTCATGGGCTATCCTGGTTTCATGGGCTATCCTTGATGCCTTTTGGGACGTTTCGGATTATTTAAAGAGTAAGATTCTCGTAGCATTCTTAAGTGCGAAGTATTAGCGAAATTTTCTACGATACGTTAGAAAGCTTAGGAAGACGAGAATTTGACATTGCCTCATGGCTTTCCTTATTGGTCTGGAGTGCGCTGGTGATCGAAGTTGTACTTTTCTGTTAGAGCTAGTACAATAAGGTAAGGTTCTCGTTACATTTCGTGCCAGTATTTTTGTTGAATTTAAATTTTGCAACCATTCCTCGAAGATCGTGTTCAAGTTTTGGGCTAAATACTTGTGGATTTCATGTGGCTTCATGATAAAGCGTACGAGTAACTACTAACCTGGATTCGATGAATCCCTCTGCGTCGAGGGCTGACTTTTTTTTTTGTTTGGGACATGAAAAACTAGATATTACACAATTAAAAAACAGGACAGATCTCGGTGTTTGGTTGACCAAAAACTTGTGATTTTCTTTCAGTCTCAT